TTTTTTCTTTTTTTTTTTTTTTTAATTTTTTTTTTTTTTTTTTTTGTTTTTTTTGTTGATTTTTTTTTTTTTTTTTTTTTTTTTTTTTTTTTTTTTTTTTTTTTTTTTTTTTTTTTTTTTTTTTTTTTTTTTTTTTTTTTTTTTTTTTTTTTTTTTTTTTTTTTTTTTTTTTTTTTTTTATGACATGGTCAGGTAATTATAGGAAAAATTAAACTTAAAAAAAAAAAAAAAAAAAAACATACAGGCATATGTTAAGTTTGTGAAATGGTGATGGGGAAGAGTGTGAGACTAGATGATACTCCAGGTATTGGCTTCTACTCATTTTCTTCCTTTCCTGTTATGTGGGTGTTTTATTTATTTTTCCATTATGTCATTTGGTTTACTAATTTCAAATAGCTAACTTTAATTTGTAAGTCCTATTTTGCCATTATATATTCAAAGGTATCAAAATTTGCCACAAGCAAGTTTATGTTGCAAAGACACCCATTTTGGGGAACTACACTTGTTCCTCATTTTTCCATGTGATATTTTTAAAATTCATTAAAATTTTTATCTTTGAAATTTATAAAAAAAAGAAAATAAATAAAACGTAATTCTTAAAGCTTAATTGTGATCATGGAGAATTTTACTCTTGAAGAATATAAAAAAATAATTGTAAATGTTTCTCTCATATTTAGCACAATAACAATGTGCTTTTCGATTTTGTCAATTATATTGGCTTATTTTTTTTCACAAAATGAGGATGCAGTATGCGTTGATTTAAATATAAATTTAGATGATGCCAGTCGTCCCAAGACTTATTTGTATATACAGAAAGACTCAGACTCTTTTTTATCACCAAATGCAGAAAAGACATGTACTGGTTCCCTAAACTCTTCAATACATGAAAATGTAGAAAATTTTCAAGGGGAAAATACAAATGAAAAGAGTAACTGTAACAATCTGAATTATCAAGAGATCGAAGAAAAGGTTAAATTGTTGTCATTGAATGAGGAGTACCATACAGTAAATAACGGACATATTAATGTAGACGAAGTAGATCCTAATGAAAAACAAAATAAAGTAATACGAATAATAATTAACTGAATACTGCATAAAAAAAGAAAAAAAAAAAAAAAAAAAAAAAGGATATTTATCTTATTAAATTTTATAGAAAAAATGACCTTTAACTCGCAACACCAAACAAACACCTCGCCCCATTTTTTTTTTTCTTGTGTTTATATTTTTTGCTAATTCAAAATGAACAAACCATTTTGTCAAAAAAATAATCTGATACATGATGATTTTTAGGTCCCCTAAATCCAAATACACTTTACGAGCCTAGTATTTTTAGTCAAAAAAATGAAAATCAGTCTTTTGCTTTTGATACAAAAATAAATGAGATTTTTATGATCGACGATATTACTCAAAATACAAGATACACCTTTTTTTTATAGGTTATCATGAAAATTTTAAAAATAAATCTGTTTGAATGTCCCATTTTTAGGGGAAAACAAAATGGGAAAAAATATATGAAAAAAAACACACAAAATCTAAAATCTTACAGAACAAATAAACCGAAATTAAGAATCTGCACATACGTAGGATGCTGTAAAATCAATTGTTTGACCAGCTAAAAAGGGGACAACTCCAAAATACTCTTCATCAATTTTAAATTTTTTCTTTTGTATACAAAGAGAAAGCGTTTGTTTGTCTGTATTACTTTTCTTCTCCTTTAAATTTAAAAAGCTTGCAGCATTTTTACAAGCAAAATTTTCTATTTTATTTAATGAATTCATTTTGTTAAATATATGTGATATATATGACATTAGAAATGGCTGTGTATATATTCCAGCTTTGTAGTGAGGATCATTTTTGAATTTTTTATAATGTGGTGCAGAATCAGAACCTAAAAAAATTCTCGGAAAATCTTCTTTTATAATATTACATAAAGCTATTTTATCATTAATAGTTTTAGGCAAAGGTTTACAATAGTTGTATACATTTTTTAAATACTTTTCTATCTCTATATTATCTGTAGAATAATCATAATTATCCGTGTCAACAACATCGTCTATAGTTAGATATAAATGATGTGGTGTAATTGAACCAGCAATATTAGGGAACTTTTTAACCAAATCGATCATATCAGCTGTTGAAATATGCTCTAACACAATTTTTAAATGAGGAAAATGAATACCTAAATCATGAATATGATTTATGTAGTTCTTTTCAGCATATAATGGATTTACATTTGGTTCTTCACAATGAATATGTAAGCTTTTATTTAATTTTTCGAGAGTATGGAAAATTTTATAATACGGTTCCAAACTTGTAACACCATCATTTGAATTTGTTGTCACATTATTTGGATAAATTTTTATTCCTTGAAAATTACATTTTTGATAATTATTTAAAATGTCATTTTCATCTGTTTTTGTATTTAAATATAAAGTCATTAAGTAATCTACCCTATTTTCATACTTCATGAGCTCTTTTCTGTAATTCTCCGCCTCTTCACAGGTACTTATTATGGGGGTTGTATTGGGCATGACGAGCACCCGATCACACCCTCCCTTTTTTATAGCATCCACAGTAAATTTCAGCATGTCTCCTTGCCTCAAGTGGCAATGCATATCATCGGCCAGAGGGATGTTGAATGATTCCTCCATTGGGTGATGATGCTGATGGCAAATGGTGGTTGTGTTGGTTACAGTTCTGCTTTTCTGCCGACTTTCTTTTGGGTTACCCTATCTTTGGAGTTTATTTACACAGAACAATGTTAACACAAAATGTGTGTTTGGCTAAATCGGCAAATTTGCAAAGTTGAAAATACAAAAAAAGAAAAAAAAAAAAAAAAAATAGGTGAACAAAAAAAAAAAAAAAACTTCATTTATTGTAAGTGGCTAGATGGAAATATTGTTTAATTAAAACGTTCATCTCGAATTGGGGGATTTCATATTTCATTAAACCAGTACAACATATAATAATACGAGTCTGTGCGAATAATAATTTTTACAATGTTTCGAATTGCAATTTATAAGCTAGTTATCCCCATGTGACATACTTTACATCAGAAAAAAATGCATTTCACTTTTTTCAACGCATAGATTAGCCAAACCAAGAAATAAAAAAATAGAGGGAAATTTATTCGAGTCAGATACAAATATGTCGATAAAAAAAAAAAAATAAAATAATAATTGTATTTACGACACTCTCTACAAAATTCCACCCTTCCCACAAGTAGGTGTAAGGACCTCTAGAACCGTTAACGTTGTTTATGTATTTGCTAGTATACTGTTTTAAACAAAAATGAAATATATGCTGCATCTGTGTGGTGTAAGAAAGGTAGTAGTTAAATGTGCACGTCATGTGTGGGAATTATATTTATGTAGGTATGTACAGAAGCATAGGTTCAAGTATGTATGGATATATACGCACATTTATATATATATATATATATATATATATGTGACTTCCATTTTTCCCGTTAAGTCTGTTGGGGTGCACATTTCATTAATCAGTTCAGTGACTACGATGCCATATGAACTTCTTTGCGCACCAACAAAATCACTCATCCCATCAAGGTAAAAATAATGAAAATTAAAGAATTTTTATGTAAAAATAAAGGTAAAAAATAAAATAAAAATAAGAGTTTACAATTTTTTTTTTTTTTTCGTTTTTTACCCTGGCCATTTCTGCTCGCTCAACGTTTACATTCAGAATTAAGAAACCGGGTGAAACTTTTACTGTCACACTACTTAAGTCGATGGGATCACATTATGCAAGTTGTAAAAAATTAAGGCCAAAAAAAAAAAAAAAAAAAGAAATAAGAAAAGGAAAAATTTTCAGTTAATGTGACAAGGAAAACGTTAGGAGAATACAAAATAAATAAATTAAGGAGTTCACCCAATTTTGTGCAAAGATATATGCCAGCACACTTTCGAATTAAATTAAATGGACAAAAGTATTATTCTACAAAAAGAAGAATTTTTTAATATTTTGCTTAAGAGTTGTGTAATGACAGGAATTGAACAAGTTGTGTTTGAAACAATGCTTTAGTTTTATGTGGTCTCATCAGGTACAATTTTTTTTTTTTTTTTTTTTTTTTATCGTCCATCTTTTGTCATTTCTGTTTAGTGAAAAATAGACTAATTTTTGGAATTACCTTGTTCATATGTAGAAATTTAAGTGATCATTAGGAATATTTAGCTACCCACTTGTGCAAAACTTCTTGTGATGATAATGCTTTCGACAAGATAGAAAATAAAAATTATGCCACAGTTATTAAAAATAATTAAAATTGTTTTGTGTGCCCTTTTCACATTTCAATGGAAATTAGTACATTCTTTTAACTCTTTCCACACATGCAAAAAATCATACAGTACAAAAATAATTAATAAAGTCATATATGTTGATAGGCAATTACGCCGTACTTGCTTATATACAACTATTCCAAAAAAGGTTACATCCTTTTGCAACAGAAAAAAGAAGATAAAATGCTTACCTCATAGTAAGGAAGAAGAGGGAGATGAATTGGGAATTGAACTGGAAGTAAAAATTAAAAATTTTTAATAAGTACTATAAACGTGCAAATAAACCCTGTTCTACCTTGCATTATGAAGCTCAACTTACAATTCGTTTTGGAATGTCTTTTCTTAAAAAGTTTCCATATGGACATGTCCATTTGTATTGCAACACATTGTAGTGGTTCTTATTAATCGTACTTTTATTACTTTTTTTTTTTTTTTTTTTTTTTTTTCTTTATTGTAGAATTTTGTTAAGGAGCTAGAGGAGGGGAAATATGGTGATGACTCTCTAAAGCTATACAGGGAGGTAGAGGTAAATGTGCCGCTTTAAAAGATATTTTATCTTTTGAATGTTAACATAGAGTTTTATATGGATATATGTTCGATACATGTTAGTAAGTTTTTGAGTTCATGTGCAATTTTCTCACAATTCCTGTGCAAAAACCTACTATATACCCACATCCTCACAATATGCACGAAAAAAAAAAACAACGTTTGCTCTTCAGAGAAATAGCTTAGAGAAGGAAGAAAAGGAATCACAGACAATGAATGAAAATGATGAACAGATCAATGTACACAATGTAGAAGATATAATTAATAATACAGATTCTAATTTAAAGAATACTATCAAAAGGGCATTTTACAACACAGAGATAAATGAACATGATAATGAAGATGTAAAAAAAGAATATAATATGATGAAAAAAATTGAAAAAACTTTTGATGAATTTGATGATATAAATTATCCAGAAGATAAATTAAATATGAAAAATATTTTTGAAAAAATTAATTCAATGAAAGATGAAAAGAATCCTGAAACTCCATTTAAGGATACTGCCAAGACGTTGATGAAGGTATATGCTAATGAGTTTATAGACATTTGTGTAGTAGGTAGTATGTATATGTAGATTGTATATATATATAATGTTATTCATTTTTTTTTTTTTTTTTTTTTTTTTCTGAATAATCCCCAGTACAAGGGACTCCTGCACATGCCTTTTGAGCGGTGTAGGCTGTTAAATGATGGCCAGTAAGGAAAAATTTTATTTTTTATGTGAACATGTCACTCGGTTTTATGATTCCATGTGAATGTGTTATACATTTGCAAACAGACATATAAAAACGAATAATTATCTTGTCCATTATCATTCCACAGATTCGACTGGAGAGAATCGTTAGATCATCTTGAATTAAATATTCCTATTTTTGAAGGTAAAAAAAAAAAAAAAAAAAAAAAAAGACAAGGGAAGGGAAGGGAAAAAGTAATTTTATTCCATTTTTCGCATGTAACCCAAACATATACGTAAAGACGTAGTTTCATCACGTGTTGAATAATACTTTGCAATCTTTTCAAAAGCGACATGTGTGTGTACATATACGTGTGTATAATTCATTCATGTATCCTTTTTTTTTTCCCCCTTGCTGTCTGCACCTTTATGGTATATCTAAGAAACGGACATCAAAGACATCTTTTTTCAGTTTGGAAATGATTATATAAAGTTGGAAGTTCTTAGGAATAATAACAAAATTCTTATGTTAAATAATAAGGTAGAGTTTTAAGTAAAAAAAAAAAAAAAAAAGGAAAGTAACACATGGTATATAGAGATGCATTAACTGTTGCTAGCTCGAAGTTGCAGAAAAATATTAACACATTATTGAATATTTCTAAGGCTATATATATGTATATATATGTGTATTTTTTTTTTTTCTTTCTTCACCCTACTTAGTTATGTGGGAAGATAAATTATGGGGAAGCATACTGGGTTATAGCTGGAGATTATAAAAATAGTAAAAAACATATCAACTTAGTTATCCCCAAAATGGGTGCCTTTAAATACATATGGGAAAAATTGCTGCAGGATGGAGAACGGGCAGAATCAATGATTTTCTCTACTGATCCGAAATAAGCTCATTAGCAAAACAAGAAGAAAAAAAAAAAAAAAGATACACAGAAGTGTGCGCTGTTTGTATATAGCATGTATGATAACCAATATACTCAAAAGGAGAAAAAAAAAAAACATTCTGCAACCTTTTCTGCCTAAAATGCACGATTTGCATTTTAATAAACTTTTTTATTTTCAAATGTTAGTCTCATTTGTGCAACGCATTTGACGCATCTTTTTCGTTCCTTTTTCGTGCCATTTTCGTGCCATTTTTGTGCTCCTTTTGTGCATTTATTTTTCTAATTCTATCATATCTGGCTCATAAGAGGTACTCATTAAGGGGTATACTCCAAACGGATTATTTTTTTAATAAAAAATGGGAAAAAAAAAAAAAAAAATTGATCGATTCATGTTCAAATGGAAAATGTGCTAGCGATAGGAATGTGTAAACCAAATTAGCACACCAAATAAGTAAAAGAAATAATCAAATGAAAAATTCTCTAAAGCGTAAACATAAGCGTAGTTTAATCCTTTGAAAATTTGGGATGTAGGAAAGAAAGGTGCCAACAGGGCAGCCTGAAAAGGAAATATCACAGAGAGATGTGGGACGGTGAGATGATAATATACATACACACACACAAAAAAGAAAAAAAAAAGAAAAAAAAAAGCATTGAACAAAATTGTGAAATATCCCATCAGCTCAAGCGTGAAAATGTTTGGCTATATTTACCATAGAGATGATTACAAAAAATGTGGAAAAATTTAATAATTCGAAAGATGAAATGTACAAGTATAAGCATAGACAAAATGATGATTTCCATGTTGACAAATGTTGAATGACCGATAAACTTTGTGCAAATAACTTCAGCCATCGTCCAATATGTCTCCCAATCTACTATTCAAGTAATCATCGTAATCAAACGTCTTTCTTTTGGTCTTTTTGGTATTTTTATTCTCCGTCTGTTTTCTCTTTTTCTTATATTTGTCTTTCTTTATCTCCATTTTTAGCCATTCTAAAGTGTCGAGATAAGGGGGTGGTGTTTCCTCTAAGGGAAGTACTATATTTGAGTGCTTGGGGAAATTGTCTGGATCTACAAGATTTTGAGAAAATGCGTCCATGAGGTTTTTATTATCGAATTGATTCATTCCTCCTCCTGATTGACTACTAGTATCTGTTGTCATCCCACCATCCACATCATGGATAGGTGGCCCTCCTTCCATTTTTTGCTTGATCTGCAAATATTTATACTTATCAATGGATGGCCATAATTTCTTTATTTCCTCTTCCTCAGCATCTGATGGAAAATCTGTATCCATTATAATCATTTCTCTGAATTTTCTTAAAATTTTTTTAATATTTTTAATTCCATAGAGAAGAACATTTTTTGGTAGCATCCTACAATCTGTCCATATTTCGATAACTAGCATCTGTTTAGGATCGGTAAATTCACATCTATCTTCACACCAATATTTCGTAGCAATTTTATGAACAGCCATACGCACCATTCTGCATGTGCCAAAGCTAGCACTTATTGGCATATAATTCTTATGAACTACTTCTGAAATTTCTCTTTTTTTCATACATTCATTATCAGAACCTAGTTCTCTTTTATATAACCCTTTTTCATACGTTAGCCAATGGCCCTTTCCATATTCAATTTTGATAGATATATCGATATACCCATTTTCTTTTAATGTGCAAATATATTGTTCTTTATTAACAATTTTTAAATGAGATGGTAAAGGTATCATTCCTGCTATTAGCATTAATGGTCCTTTAAATATAAGACGAATATTTGTCTCAATATTTATTTCTTTGCTATATATGCATACATCCGATAAATTTAGTGCAATTTCAAGTAAATCTTCCTGAACATTATCAATTCGAGTGTCTTCATTCATATTATGTATTTTAATTGCAACTATGGCATATCCATATAACTGCGTCTGACAAACATATTTTAGCAATGTTCCAAATGTATGCCCATCTGTTATGTTTAATGGGCCTATGTAAAACTTTTGGTACAATCTTCCATTTTGCGGATATTTAATTATATCAGTTGCTTCTTCGATTTTTATATCATTTGGCCCAAAATCATATTTGTCTATAAAACTTTCCCTGTGCAAACTTGAATGTATTACACTTTCTTTTTTTATCTCATTGTATGTCTCATCTTGGTCATGCCTCTCACTCATTTCGCTCATTTTGCTCAATTCACTCATCCTGCGTATACGATCTTTTCTCTTACTGTAAATGTCCCCATAATCACCAAAAAATTGTGCATCTCCATATCCGAGTCCAGATCTATCCCTTCTTATACTAAATCGTGGGTAGAAAAGGAAAGGATAAAATTTCTCATTAGGTTCGTTACCACTCACACTAATTTTGTCAAAATAATCGAATAATTTTTTATATATAGGATAATGATTAACATTAAAATCTATTGCCCTAAAACTTCCCCAATATTCAATGGGCATTCTTTTCATCTTAGGTTCTACCATTTTTCTTAAAGTTTTTATTTCATATTCAGATTCCTTTTCCTTTTCATCATATCCTATATAATCTTCCCATTCCCCTCGATTCAAAAGAACCCAATTTTTCCATGTGTACAAATCTCCCTCAAAGAATCCTTTCTTTTTTAAATATAGAAAATCTTGTATACTAATTAGCCTATCACTGTCTGTTTTGTCTTTTTCTCCTTTTTTTTTTTTATTTTCTGAATTTTCGGATAACTTTTTTAAAAAATACATGAAAAAATAATAATAATTATGTATCCTTAAATTGTCATTCTTGTATTTATAATCCAAAATGACATTAGTTAATCCATCAGGGGTTCTAAAAGCATCCTTAGGAAAATGTGGCTCATAACCACTACTTGTGTTATTCTTCATCTGTTCTACATATTCATCTACTTCTTCTTTTTTCACATGATACTTTTTAATAAAGTTTTTCTTTTGGAAAATTTTATAATCATCATTCGATTCTTCTGAATGGTTCATGCTTCTTATTTTCTCATCTCTCTTTTTAAACATTATCCAAACTCCCCTTTTTCTCTTTTCCCAGATTTTTGGCCGAAATTTCTCTTTTCCATGAGTTCTACTGGGTAACACACCTTCATAGTTGTGGATAAATGAAAACTTTTGAATTTTTAAAGTTTCATAGGTAAAAATAGTTAAAAGCGCCCATGTGCATATGGTCATGAACAGCATCATATGGGTTTCGTTCAGCGGCTGGCAGAAGCTACCTTTCTTTTTCCTTGCATTATGTACTAATCATTTGGCACTTACTCCAATTATGCCAAGTATGCCTATTGTGCCTATTATTCCAATTGTGCCTATTATCTCCGTATTAGCGTACTCTAAATGCTTATTTTTTTCCTCTATCTTACCATACGTATACACATGCATATCTGCATATATATAAACTTGTTCGTATATTTATACATGCAAAATCCATTTCGAAGTTACCCCTTTGCATCCTTTAGTTCATGAAAAAAGTTTTTTTTATTTTTTTTTTTTTTTTCTACTCTTTTATTCATTTTGAAGTTTTGCTCTTCAAGTGTGGATGAAAGTACGCGAGCACTTTCACTTCAACATGTCACACAGCATATGCATAAACTGCTGCGTGTATTCTTGTAAATGTTAACATGTTAATGTGCCGCTTAAAGAACATGGATTTGCAAATGTATGCAATTATTTGTATATAAGAATTTATGCACAGAATAATTAAGTGCTTATTTTTAATATCCTAATTTTTTTCTTCAAATTTTGAATTTCCCACATTACTAGCGCTATCGGGTATCTGGATATTCATTCCCATTCATGTGTGTAATTATCGTTTGCACATGAAAATAGTAAATGCAAACCTCAAATTCATGTATGCAAATATTCATTTGTTCACAGAAATGTGAGAAATTTTTTCCTCCTTTTTACACATTATGGAGTTACCGATTTTGTTTCCTTTTTTTTTTTTTTTTTTTTTTTTTTTGCCGTGCTATTGGTTAAACACTTATGCTTTACATTTTTGTGAAACTTTTTTCTTTTTTTTTTTTTTTTTTTGTGTCAAGAAAATAAGTTCCACAAAAATCACATTTGAGTAATAAGAAAAAGCTCAACATGCTTTCTGTTAATTGGAGAATTTTTCCATTTTATATGAATTCCGAATGTTCCTTCGTACACAGCAGTCTGTCATGCTGTTGTCTTTGTGAAGAAGATTTTGTGTTGTCACTCGTGTTGCTATCAATGTTGTTACCAGTTTGCATCCGCGTTGCAAGCGGTACCGAAATGCACCTTGCTAAATATGTGCAACTATTCCATTCCACATTTTACCTACTCACAAAACATAACAACTTTATGATATGATGCTGGGGACAGCGGAGATTAATGTGTTTCTTCATAGGAGTATATTATATTTTTTTTTTTTCCTAAAATTTTTTCCAAACATTTCTAATGTTTTTCCGAAACATGTGCATAATATTTGTTCATCCATGTAACAGTTTAGTTGATTCATACAGCCTCGAAAAGGAAAAGAATGCAAAAAAAAAAAAAAAATTCAGAAAATACAGAAAATTACCATGAAATTGTCTATAATTATAACCGCACGTGTAGTTATATGCAAATACTCACATGTGTGCATATGTGCAATTACATATGGATGCATTCGGAAGAACTACGAAACAAGCGTGAATAATTTAAAAATGCATACAGCCGTGTCAACGGAGGTATAAACATTTGCTTCCTTTTTCGATAGCGTGTAAGCAAGTGTTCATACACACAAACACACATATATCTACCTACACACACGCGCACATATGTGTGCACATATGATCCTGCCTATCCTTACCAACCCTCTCATGCATTTACACGAATACGTGTAAGGACATAACATAATACGAAATAAAAAATTATCACATTGACACATTTTCCTCGAGGGAGAGATTATCGTTTTGGGGACATACACTCCCAGATACACTAAAGTGAAGGAAGTATGAAAATAAACAAATTATTGATATATCTGTTTATTATAATTAACGTATGCAAAACGAATAATGATGGAGAAAAGAAAGAAAAAAAGATACTTTCTTTAGACCTGGACGATTTTGAAGAACTTTTAAATGATGATAAAATATTTACCTTTTTAATTGTTTACACACATTGGTGTCATAAATCACGTTTGGTGCTTGAAAATGTGGACAAGATGTCGAACCTTTTAAAATATGATAATAATTTAAAAATAGCTAAAATTAATGCAGCTGTAAATAGTGGAATCATAGAACGGCTAAATGTTTATAGTTACCCATCTCTATTTATGATTAAGAAAAATGAAATACATAAATACAAAGGAACACCCAGTATTAAAGATACATTATTATGGATTTATAAATACCTAGACGATAGCGTATATATAATTAATAATAATAATAAACTGGACATGTTCTTAGAATTAGAAGAATATAATAACTCTATTTTATTTTTTGTCAGTAGAAAAGAAAATAATATAAAATTAGTTAAAGAGTTAGTTGATATTTGTACCTCAACAGGCAAATCTTTTTGTTTTTCCATTATAAATCCAACGATCATTTCTTATTTTGAAAATCAAATAGTGTCAGAAAAATATCATTTTAACTATGAAGAAGTACAAAATAAAGATATATATGGAATTTTATTTAAACGTGATGATTTTATTCAATATTTTTATTTAATGGATGAAAGTTTAAGCTTATTATATGATTCTAATTACACATCAGAAGAAAAAAAACAGAAATTATCAGAGTGGATTGAGAAAAAAATTGAACCATTAGTTATAAAATTCCATGAATATTATTTTCCTCTATTTTTCTCAAATAACAGTGTTACATTTTTTATACTATATAAAGATATAAATAAATTAAACAAAATGGATATCATTAAATGTGCAAAGAAATATCAAAATATTACCTTTTCCATATGTGGAAGTACTGAAATATATGAAAAAAGACTCCTAAATGAGTTGCTTATAGAGAATATAAAAAACCCGGTTATGAGAATTACCGAATTTAAAAATCATAATACAATTCCCTACAAATATGTGCCCCTCAATGACAATATCGAGATAAATGAAAAGGTAACCTATGAGGTATAATGTTGGCGAAATAGATCATATTTTGATGAATTTTTGCAATCGTATCTTTTACTATATATCAGTGCAAGAAAGAGTGATGGAAGGGTGGTGGTAGTGGGAGTATAGAAGTCTGTGAATCCCATAAGTTCGCCATTGCAGGATTGCACGTGCGAGTGTACACATACCATAATGTGTATACATATATATATATATATATATTTACAACCATTTGTGCTTCTTATCCCCCTGCAGAACATTGATGAATTTATCAAAGGCTATCTAACAAATAAAAAATATTTCTACAGAAAAAGCGAACGTCCACTACCAGACGAATTCAACAATGGATATGTAAAAATAATAGTAGCGGATACGTATGATGAATACGTATTTGATAGCAATAAGAATGTTGTCGTGTTATTTTACGCACCCTGGTGTGGTCACTGCTACAAATTTGAGCCAGTGTATAGGGAAATTGGAAAGAGGCTTAAGTTGTATGGGAGAAAATACAAAAACTATCATAATGATATTGTTATAAGCAAAATAGACGCTGTGAATAACGAGATATATGACGTCACCATCGGTGAGTACAGCGATGCGCATGTATGAATGTACACGCAAATACATATGTGTATATATATATATATATATATATATATATATATATATATATATATATATGTTATAATAAATCCATTAACATATATGTATAGTATTTATGCCGCATTCTGTGCAACCCGTTTGACCATATGCGTAGCAATAGTTCGTTTATTATGACTGTTATATGTACATATGTATATATTTTTACGCTCGTCTCAATGCTACCCTTCATCTTGCTATAAGTAAATATATATATATATATATGCGCTCCTAATATCGGTTCATGTTTTACTATAGAGGGATATCCTACCATTCTACTGTATACAAAAACGAATAAAAAGGAACCTATAAAATACTCTGGCCCAAGGACAGTAGAGCACATTATTTTTTGGATTTGCGAAAAGGTTGTAAAAAATATGTGTATCAACTTACATACACACAACAGATTATTTTTTCCAAATTGAAAGGAAAAAATTTGAATATGCTGAATTCTACAGTTATGTTAGCGGTCAGTGAATACATCACTATTTCGTAGAGAACTTAATTGAGCTGGAATTTTTTCTTTTTTTTTTTTTTATTTATCTTTTTAGACAAATACTGATATAAACATACAGGAATTACTTACCATCGATTTGGATGATGAGCAACTTTTCGAAAAATATGAAGAACTCTGAATGATTAAAAAAATGAAGACAGTTTTTCTATATGTTTTTGTATTGTGTGTATGTGCATTTCATGCACATGTTTATCTCTATGAGTACGTATTTTTTTTTTTTTTTTTTTTAATTGTTACTTTTTATCCATATTTGCGACATCATATTTTTTAATATTACCACATATTTTTTTAAATTTTCCTTTATTTCAAAAGTTTGTGCAAATTTTTACACTACACACTGTATACGTTCATTTAATTAAAGAATGTTTTTGTTTCTGACTCATTTCACACCTCTTCATTATAATTCTTAAAATACGTTCACATTGTACACTTTGTTTTTTGTTTGTTTTTTAGTTTTTCCATTTTTTTATAAGTTTTTCATTTATAAAGTATTATTTATTTTGCCAAATAAATATTTCTCGGAAAACTTTTTTTTTTTTTTTTTTTCAACAGTGAAATAATAGCTAGTTACCTGACCCGTTCATATATATATACACACATATATCCATTTTGCTACCATTTCGGTAAAAAGATATAGCCACGCCTTCTGTGGCATTCTAATTATTATGTAGCATAACATCTCATCATGTGTGCATGATGTCTCAATGTGTATGGGAACTGTTAAGCATTGAGAAATCTTTTATAAAGGAAAGTGAAAACGACGAAATAGATCCAATATATAATTCTTCAAAAAACTATGAATTCGATAATTTACACAATACGGATATAAGATCGGAAAAAGTGGACTACGATTATGAAGAAGAAACGTCAAAGCATTCGAAAATAAAGAATGAAAAGAACAAATTGAAATTTGAAAAAATTATGCACAAATTTTTTATTTCAGATATTTCCAAATATGTAAAAGCATACGTAAAAAAGAATGATAGCAACATCCGTAGCGAGATAGGTAAAGCCTATTTTCTCATGTTATTCTGTTATGTTTTTCGAATAAAATAAATGCACACACCTACTTGTATGTACGTCCATACATGTATATATATATATATATATATATATACATACACATAAGTATACACATCGCGAGGTTACCCTTCTCCCTGCAATGAAGGTATAACATCTAGTCAAAGCACCAAATCGGAAGAAGAAAGATATTGGGTAAACAGCTACATATACAACTTTATAAGCCACTGTCTCATGACCTACAATGACTGCAAGCATTATATCGTCATCACAAGCAGCAAGAACTTGATCCAGAAGTTAACCGGAACCGGTAATTTTCGCACAAAGGCAAAGGGGAAAAGCCAGATAATACGGAACGCGAAAAAACAGAAACAACGAAAAAAGCGAAAAAAACAGAGACAACGAAAAAAGCGAAAAAAACAGAGACAACAAAACAAAGAATAATTACCATCTCCTCACAACCTACATAAAATATATACACACACATTTCGCGCATTACAGGCTACGGATATTACGGCATCTACTTTACGAATGGGAAAAAAATCGGAGGACTTGGCAATTTATTCATAAATATAAAACAAGTAAGACACATAAGTTACAGCATCATGAAAACCCTTCAAACGAGAACCGCCTCGGATAGATCCGTATCAAATAATGATGAATCTTGTAGTTTCATATTTACGCTTTAAGTACGTTGCACCTACATTGCATTATTTTCGATTTTTTTTTTTTTCCTTCTTGTATAAAGGTTAAAATTAGATAACTTAAATACACTATGTACTAAAATTAAGTCGTTTTTGTTCATACGGTTTTCTAACCCAGTGTAACTGAATCTAACCAGGTTCAATATTTCGGTGCACAGAAAGTATACCTCACCTACCGGGGGGACATAAATCACAACAGCAAATTAATAGATTCCTTAAAAAAAAAAAATATCTTTGACAGATAATTCCTGAAATCCTTAAATATAAATTCTGCTTGGTTACGCAAGTGATCGAATGATTCATAGGATCGAAGCTCTTTGTTTATTTTCATTTTTAATTTTCTATTTTCAATTTTAGAGAAATATGAGCTGAAGTGGGCATAACAATTAAAGAATTCTTCGCACATTATCATTCCAATTGTGTGTGATTCATCGTTAGTGTGTCTCGTATCCTTTAAAAGTTTGTACACCTTGAATCGGAAGAGGCATGGATATATATACATATATGTATGTGTATGTATATGCATTCATGTTTTGTTGCATGCACGCATGTTCAAAAATGTTCCCTGTTGTGTTAGGGCAGATTGACAACTGGCATACCAAAAATACCTGCCTAGAAATTAAAGAATTCAAGCGCTTCATCTGCTTCAAACTTTTTAGACGAACTAATAAGCTCATAATTATATTTGTGATTACGTGAATTATATCCGCCTTACGATATTCATTGGCATGTATCGAGTTTAAAATAAAATTAAATGAAAACATGTCAACAAAGTGGTAGGAGAAATAACAGACATTCCGAGGTTTTACACTGAATGTGTTTAGCCTTGATTTTAATTTATGCCCTTCTTTTCTACAAGCGTATTTTTCATCCACTTTTTGAATATCTATTAGAGTATATTTTCTAGTTAGAAGTATTCTATATGCTTTTCTGCGAAATGTAAAAATAAATGGTATGTGAAAAAGTATTCTCGTTTCCTTAAATCTTTGTTCATAATTATCATAGTAAAAATGTTTTTGAGTTATCAGTAACTTATTTTTATTTTTAAAAAATTTTAAAAATATTTTCGGTGGTCCAACAACGTTTATATAATTTTGCAGTATCTTCCTAAAGATATAATAATTCTGTTCATTCGCAATCTTTTGTTTTTTGGAATTTTTCTCTAAGTTTGTTTCATTTTCTCTACTTGATTGTGCATCTATCCTTTGGATCCCACATTTTCTCCATGGCACTACAAGTGTGTTTATTTTTTTCATTTTCCTTCGATTTTTCCTTTTGTTTGGGTTATTTTCCATGTTTTTACAATGGGCTTTGAAGCGTTTTTTAAAAGGACGCTTTATAAACCCTGAGATCAAAAGGTGAATGATTGATCTGTTCATGTCTCGATTAGGAGATTTTTGTGCTTTTCTGTACCCTTTTCTCAGCATCAATGACATGATTTTCATCTTTCCATTTCTTGAGAGAAGGCTAAAGGAATAATTTTTTTTTTTTTTTTTTTTATTAATAAATTTCTTCATCCCGCGTGTACAATTTTCATACTTATTACAGTAAAGGAAAAAAGGCTTTATGTGAAAAAGTCGAAAAAAAAAATGAAAAAATTTTAATATTTTCCTAAAATTTATCGAATGATTGTAAAATGTGTAAAACATGAAATCCATGATAATGTAAAAATAAGGTCTAGATATAACACTGATAATTTTAAATATATTCATTCCTTTGTTATAAGTTAATGCATTGTAAAAATAATGAATATCTTTTGTATATATATTATTGCTACATATATTTTCTCTCAATTTTTTATTATTCTTATTGATCACATGTTCATATGTGCAAGCTCCATTTTCATTTATGTTTAATGTGTGATTGTACATGTTAAGCGTGTCTACTAGAAGAATGTAAAAATAATATTCAAGGGTAAACCAAAGATTTAATTTCCATTTAGAAGATCCACATTTTGTTATTTTATTCAAAATATGTTTACTGAACTGTAATTCATAATATCTTGTTAGCCCTTCTTTACACCACAAATGTTTTGCTTTCTTGAAATATAGGCAATTCCCCCAGAGTGTATGGAAAACTTCATGAATAATCAGTTTCACTCCTAACACAAGATTGTGGAAGTTATCTCCTTCTTGACTAATTTTGTCTTTCCCATGGAGTGGTGTATCTGTCGGATTGACATCATCCACAGAAATCGTCTGTCTCATCCGAATCAGAGACATCAACAAAGTAATACAATTGTTGTTCTCTTCACCTGCATACTTGTATTTGTTCAAAATCATAAATTGTAAGAAGTTATTTTCTTCTAATCTTTTTCGAAAAATATTTATTCGCATAAACATTAGCAATATTTTTCTTACAATGTGAGTAAAATAGTTGTATCTGTTTAACCCATTTTTTACTCTCCCGTCTCTTTCCCTTTCGATATATATAACAACAGAAATTTCTTTTACCTTGAATTTTATCTTGTCGTAAATACCGACAAATAGACAAAATGTGTAGCTTGCAATTTCACTTGTATCATTAAACTCATATGTTATGAAATCTTTTTTATTATTTGATGATTTCCCTCTTTTGAATTTGAGCCACCTTTTTTTGTTTCTGTACCAACTCGTGCATTTTTCCACTTTACCTAACTTTAAACTGATTTCATTATTACATGGTGAAGTAGTATAGACATTACTAAAACATGATGAACGGATCATTGTCTTAATATAACTGCACGATAAGCACTGACTCTTTCTTATGAGCATCTTCTCCTGATGCAAATTCAAGAGCAAAGACGTGAATATTCCCAATCCTCTGGTATAATAAACTCTTTTTAATTTACTATTAGTGACAACTAGATCTTCAGGTGATAAAATATGAATAGGATATTTTTTTCTTATATGTGTCGTCTCTTTTCCTTTGTTCATATTATTAGCAAAAATTCGTTTCGGCATTTTCATTTGAAGTTTATCCCATTTTTCTGGAATTTTATTATTACTACATCTTAACTCAATTTCTAACGAAATTTTGAGCCTAAATTTTACCTTATGAATATTATTCTGAAAACATGGAAATATTAAAGGGAGGTAGAAGAATTCGCAAAATGTGTTTATATATGTAAAGCTCCTTTTACTTTCAAATTTGATTTTTTTGAAATTAAAATGGAAAATTTCCTCTCCATCATTTTGAAAAACATATAAATTCCTATGTTTGTCTATAACACAGTTCTCGTCTTTTAACTCTGTAGTGATTACTTCACCACGTTTTTTCTTTTCAACTTTGTTGCTACTGGAGGGGTATATTCCTTCCGTTTTTTGTTCATAATTTTCATAATAAAAAAAAATAACAAGTTTGTGCAACCCTCTTATTGTACTACTTTTTGGGTAAATGTAAAAACTGTTTTTTTTTTTCCTTAATTCATTTTCCTTGAATTTAATTATTGTACCACAGGGAGCAATAAGAAACAAATTCAAAATTGTAAAGTGTTCATTGTCGATGAATACTTTTATTTTTTCGTTATTCCCTGATTTGTTTATATAGTGGATTACACACTTTCCTACATATTTTAAAGGTTGTCTTAATTTTAGGAGGCATAAATGTACGTTGTACCTGCATTGGGGAAAGTCGAACGTGAAAGTAAAAACGGGTAAATGGTGTGAAAAAAAAAAAAAAAATAAATATCATCTCTCTTAAAGCATGAACTCCAGAGTTGAAAAATTGTAAAACTCTGAAATGTAGAATAATTTGAAAGTTGTGAACGCTTCTTTTTTTTTTTTTTCTCTTTCTCTTTCTCTTTCTCTTTCTCTTTCCATTTTTGTTTTTCTTTTTCGATACATTATCGGTTTTAAGGACTTATTTGCGTTATTAGCCTTTTTCAAATGGCACAAATGAGTCTGTTGCAAGTTCATCATTTGGACATGTGTATATTTGGCCAAACATATTACACAGATGTTGGAAGGTGAAGAAAAGATTGACACCAAAAATGCAGAACGTGGCCAAAGGCAGTCGTGTTCATTTGCACGCGACACATAATTCCGAAATTAAAAAAATTATCAAAGCGGAAAATTGCGATGGTTGAAAAAATTAATAAAAAAAAAAAAAAAAAATTAAATGGAGATAAAAAGGTGGCTGGTAGAAAAATAATTCAAAGGAGTGCTGTATGCACATATATAAAGGTACTCATACGCATATATATATATATATATATATATATATATATGAATATATATATCTATGTATATATATGTCTATGTATATAGGACGTGAGAAGGGGATTGCTCATCTATGGGGGTGGAAGCTGAAGCACATCTGTGAGTGTGTATTAACCGGGTGACGAATATTGAATGTATATCAACGTAAAATTAAAAAAAAAAAAAAAAAAAAAAAAAAAGGGGGGGGAGAGAAGGGTTCCTCTTCCAAAGGGAATACAGAAATATAAACTAATCTATGTGGAAATTTTCATTGCTTAAAATGTGCTGAAAAAGGGGATAAAAAAAAAAAAAATAAAAATGTACAAAAAAAAAAATAAATGCATATACAAGTTTCGTGATGTATAAGTAAACTTAGCCTGCGACCCGTAACTATTCATTTTATGTTTTCACCACAATTACAAATGCTCACACAGGTATGCAAATCGGAGTGTATATATATTATGTATAATACAATATGAAATACAGTAATCTCTCGCTCTTCTATACCTTTAAAAGTTTAATGGGCTTGACGGCTCGAAATAAAACAAAGAGCTATAGGATTTAAAGGAGGAGGGGAACGGGAAATGTAGAACATGGTGATGCGGCAGGTTGTGAGAAAAAAAAAAAAAAAAAAAAAAAAAAGCATATTGGTGAAAGAACCATATGTGTATGTCGAACATGTGGTTCTCATTCTGTCATTTTCGCAACTTACTAGGACATATAAAACAATATCAAAGGTGATATCAAAAAAAACATACAAAAACTCGTGTGAGCTGTATAAATCGATATTTGAAGGCGACAAGCATAGGACTTTGTATATAATTAACAAGATAGGTTTCAATATTACAGCAAAGAATATAACTCTGTATTTTCTGTTAAAAGAAAAGAAAGGTGTATCACGGAAAAATAAAGATATGTTAATATTTTCCCCCATTTTGATATTATCTTTGTGCCAGAAAATCCGCCATGGGCCATATAAACATTTTATAAAAAGAAGGGAGAGATTGCCATGCGTATTTTTGGCAAAGCAACAGATTTGAATCACCCCAAAAAATTGAAAAAAAAAAAAAAAAAAAAAAAAAAAACTACATGGGGGAAAAGACGGCTTTGTTTTATATTTGATCATTTGTACTTACTTGTAAATGTCATATTTCTTATACAACTCAGCGACGTGAAAGGATAAATTTTCTTCCGATAAGCGTGCCTATATAAATATAAACGCATATATATATAATACATGTATACGGGAATATTTTCGTATGTACACACATATATGTACATCCGAGGGAAAAAAAAGGAAATTTGTTTTACACACATGCATGTGGCACGATATCACATGGATGGAATGTACATGCTCTGTCATGCATTTATAAATAAAGATGAACATTCTCCTGTTGGAAAATTTCCAAGTGTATTTGATTTCCACACTTACTGAAAGGAAGGTTGATGTGAAATTAATCGCAATGAAAATGAATAAGTAAGCAAAGGCTTGTAGTATATATCGTGGGGCCTGTGATTAAAATGAAAAAGAGAAAAAATAAGGAAAGAAAAAGTGATAAGTATGCAAATCATTCCTTGTGTACATTCACACACAGATACACTATATAATTACATAAAAATGTTTTAGACGTCTTCATGAGCACATGTAGAACGTGAAAGAGTTCCACACATATGCACCAATAATTGTAAATAGATAATATGTTTTCATTACTTGAAAGTTCCCCAAGAATATTTCAAATATTCCCGTATAAAAAGATATGACTGAAAAACATATCATAAACTGTATTTCTATTCTGCTTAGATGGCTCCTAATGTACATGTCACCTGGGTGAAATCGGGGGAAAAAAAAAAAAAAAAGGGTAGAAAAATAAAATGAAATGATTAAGTAGGGAAAATAAAAATAAAGCACGTGTGCAGGGAAAATAAAAATAAAGTACATGTGTAGGAAAAATAAAAATAAAGCACGTGTATAGGAAAAATAAAAATAAAGTACATGTGTAGGAAAAATAAAAATAAAGTACATGTGTAGGAAAAATAAAAATAAAGTACATGTGTAGGAAAAATAAAAATAAAGCACGTGTGCAGGAAAAATAAGATAAATAAATATGTAAAAACAAAATGGAGAAAAAAATATATCCTAAGCGTTATTTTTCCCCACTTGGGATGTATATTCACACAAAATTGCTGAAAACATAGGGGGTATAAATTTTACCAAGGGAAACTTGCAGATATATAATGAAGGAAATTATTTCTTGGATTTTCTTCAAAATATTTGCTGACACCCTGAACAGAGAGGAGATATTCAATATGTACATTGTAACACTTGGACATAAGGTAACAAAAAAAACAATACATTTTTTGCAATGTAAGAATAATACAATATGATGGATATGCCATTTCTGGTTAAAAATGGGTGACGAAGTGAACAACTTCCAATTTTACCAGAAGTAGAGGTACATGTATCCACGATCTCTTATGAAATTCACATTTTTATAATTAAAGTATGTTGAAAGAAGGAAAAAAAGCATATTGAGTATCATGAATATGTCTGTTTTTTCCCGATACTTAATAAAATATAACGTCAGAATAATCACTAAAACTAGTAAAACGTTTGTAGTAAAATAAAGAACATTTGGAATAAAAAGAAAATCATGTGATAAATGTTTTGTCTTGTAGTCATAAAAAACAATGTTTCCTTTTAAGTTAATTTTTAATTTATTATTATTTATCAAAAATAACATATATCTATTTTTTTGGCTAATTTTTATATTCTTCTTAATTATTCCTTCTTCTAACGGGTATCTTTTTATACAATTAAAATGAGATGTAAAAATATAGTTTTCTTCATTTTTTAGTGAAGGTTCTAATTTATTCTTCAACCTGATGTAATTTAGCCATTGATCAGCGGTTATAAGAACAAGAAAAAGGTTGTTCGATTTCTGTCTATTCACATTTGTGCTTGTTGTATCATTCGTGTTTTCTCCATTTTTATAAAATCCAATATTCGATGCTGTACTTACATCATTTGATTTCTCGTTTGTCTCTTTATAATCTTGAGCATTATTCTTCGCTATCTGTTTACTAAAATATTCTCTATCCACATTGAAATTGTTCAGTATGTTGATAGAATTTTTATTTGCTTTTGCTAATATTTCTTGGCTTTTGTTTTTTTTTTTCACCAATTTGTTTTCCCGAAAACGGATTGTCATGTCGATGCTTATTTCCCCTAACAGAGTGGAACGGCATGTTCAGCGGTTTGTGTAGTAGCATGTACAGCGGTTTGTGTAGTAGCATGTACAGCGGTTTGTGTAGTAGCATGTACAGCGGTTTGTGTAGTAGCATGTACAGCGGTTTGTGTAGTAGCATGTACAGAGGTTCGTATAGTGACATGTACAGTGATGTATTGCACCCGATATGTGCTACCATACTGAATACAGGACGTATATAGAAGCTCAAGTAGGGGCATAAGATAAAGTCCTAACACTACACTGTTGAAGTTACATTGCTCGAAATGTGCCGATTATTCTGCACACACATACACACATGAAGAGTAAACACGTAGAGCTAGGCGTACCTTCTTCAACGGAAAAAAAATAAGATGGCTTAAAATTGTAATAGCTGGCTGCTAACAAATGCTCATTTTTGTATAAAAAAGTAAACAAATCATCTTTATCAACTACATTTATGTTTAATATATAACCCTTACATTTGTTCGCAAAAAATAAAAACACCAATAATAATATACCTAGATTAACATAACGCTCTTTAAATCTCATTTTTTCATGACATTTTTTTCATTTACAAAAAAAAAAAAAAAAAAAAAAAAAAAAAAAAAAAAAAAAAAAAAAAAAAAAAAAAAAAAAAAAAAAAAAAAAAAAAAAAAAAAAAAAAAAAAAAAAAAAAAAAATTATAAAAACCCTAAAAAAAATTTAAAAAAAGTTGAAGGAAAAAAAAAAAAAAAAAAAAAAAAAAAATCAAAAATGTTAGGTTAAAAAAAAAAAAAAAAAAAAAAAAAAAAAAAAAAAAAAAAAGAGCATTTTTTTTTATGACGTTTTTGTAACATGTTAAAAATCATGTGGAACATTTTATTTTTTCACCAAAAAGGATGGGGAAATTAAAGTACATTGTATATTATGTATGGATTATCTGTCAACAGTGATTAAATTACGCCATCTTGTGTTTTCTAATGTGTTAAGGAAACGTAATAGAAACGAAAAAAAAAAAATAAAAATAAAAATAAAAAGTACAGAAAAGGCTAAAACATGTTAGGTGGTATAACAAAAAAATGATAAATAACACATGATCTCTTAACAAGTACAGTTTATCAAAGCCCCAAAAAGACTGAAAAGAGGGAGCGAATATAATGGTGAAGGGATCAAGAACATTAGTGTGGAGACATACAAATAAGAGATGGACATGATGAACAGAATGAACGCGATGAACAGCACAAAGGTGTGTAAACATGCACACGCAGAGGTATCATGTTGCACATACTACTGAAGGGGAATCAGTACAAAGTTTGAATGTCAAAATCATCAAAACATAAAGAATGAGTTTGGGGCTACGATCGGCTTTTGGAGGAATTTTTTTTTTTTTTTTTTTTTGCACACGATTTTAATATATGCATATATTCGAAAAGTGGTGAAGTCAACGCAGTGGCATAAAAAAAAAGGTGCAAAATGATGAAAAAACGAAGACAAAATGAGGGAAAAACTGTAGTGAGGGAAATATACATAACAGGTGATATTCTAATATATATTACTCACACACAGTATGGACAAAATTTACAAAGTTTTTTCGCAAAGATACATACATTAATAGGTCTCCCCATCCGACCATAAGGAGAGTTTGCATAAGAAGAAGAGGGATAGACAGACGGTAAAATATAAATCCCTCCTCCTATATTAATTAACATGCAGAATGCATAAATTTGAGGCTAGCATTGAAGCAATAAGCAAAATTAACAGCATTGTGTTTATCTAAGGTGTAACAAAAAAAAAAAAAAAATGAAATGAAACAATGAAAAGAAGTAATTAAATAAATTAATGAAATGAAACAATGAAAAGAAGTAATTAAATAAATTAATGAAAGAAACAATGAAAAGAAATAATTAAATGAATTAATGAAAGAAATAATTAAATGAATTAATGAAAAGAAATAATGAAAAGAAATAATGAAAGAAATAATGAAAAGAAATAATGAAAAGAAATAATGAAAAGAAATAATTAAATGAAAAAATAAAACGACAGTAGGAAGACTCGTTTTGCTTAACTCTGGCTGGGTTCCCACAAATTGCTTATTTCAAAGGTTGTGTCAGGGTATCTGTATACATAATTTGAAATTAAGAGAAAGGGGGGAAAATAAAAAAAAATATGGTAAGCTTATACAAAATATGCGTATATATGAAATGCACACAGATGAAGGCGACGAAGTGAAAATTGTGATGTTTTTTTCCACATCAGGTGTTAAACTTTTTTATGTATAAGGTGCAGAAATTATCCTGAGGGGAAACGAAAAAAAGAACGGTGTTTTTTTATTCATCTTCCATAGAATTTTCCTTGCCTCAGCACTTTTATTTTATTTATTTATTTTTTTTTTTTTTTTGGGGGGTTAGGGGGAACCCCTATTCTTGTGCCCTTTTTCTTTACTTACCTTTGAATGTAGACATACTCAGAATGGTGCAAATCGGATGGTTTGTTTAACAGAGAAAAATATTTTTGCGAATTTATTGTCAAAGTGTTGGCTTCAAATTTGGTGAATTCATTTTTGTTCAAGTAAATTTTAAAATGTTTCATAACTTCGTAAAAGTAGGCATCAAATGGAAGTTTAATATCCTTGAGTTTGCAAAAATGTAAAACCCTTTTTTGGTAAAGAAGAATATCAAATTGTTCTTTATGTTTAATTAGAAATGAATTCACTTTTTTTTTTATTTCATTTTGCTTCCTGTCAAATTCTTTCAAATAATTTTCATAATCTTTTACACATTTTGTTAAATTCAAATTTTCAGTTTCCCTTGTCTTCTCCTTAAAAATTGTGAAATATTTTTTAAACATAATATTTATTTTACTTTTTCCTAAACATATGTGTGGAAATTTAAGAATGGAGTGTCTTTGTCTTTCCTTTTTCTTTTTAGTTGTTATATTCCCCTTTCTTTTCCCCCCGATGATGAGATGCCTGTGTCCACTTTCGGGTGTGCAATAATCACTACAATTTTCTCTCATCGTGTGGCTGCTCCTAATCACACGAGTCTTTCCCTCACTTTTGTGCAAAAAGTTTTCACATTCTACGTCATTAATTCTGGATATGTTTTCTCCATGTGATGGATCCATTTTTTCATAACCATCATCCTTATGATCATGATCATGATCTGTATCATTCTGATAGCTTTTATTCACCATGTGAGAAATATTTTTTTGTGCGTAATTTTTCTTTCCTGTATCATGAAAATGGTTCTTTGCTAGTCTTTTTTTTTTTTTTGATACAAATGTAATGTCACTGTAATAGAATGATATGAGGTGTTCCAATACTGATAAGCTAAAAACAGATGCCATATCATTTGAAGTATTATATCCCCCCTCAAGTACACTTATGATTGGAAATCGTAATCTATTTTGTAAGGATATAATTAAATTTGTCAAATAAAAATAGGTAGATGTATTTTTCTTTACAAATCCATTATTTACAAAATCTAATTTGTGGCCATCGAAACCAGCAGATAAAAATAACAAATTTGGACGAAAATGAAATAAATGTATCAATATATTATCATGAAATAATTGTAAAAAATTCTGTTCATTCATATTTTTCTTTAAAGTCACATTAATAATATATGGTTCTAGTTCCACCGTATCGCTACCTGTTCCTGGATAAAAATATCCATCAAATGCATGAATAGAACTAAAGAAAATATTCTTCCTATCATTCTTGTCCTTCCAACCTTTCCAACTATATATATCAACATAATCATTAATTCGAATTTTCTTTAATCCTATATTTCTTATAATTTGTTCTGTGCCATTTCCATGATGAATATCAAAATCGATAATAGCGATACGTTGAAAATGTTCATATTTATACTTTGCATATGATATTCCTATGGCTATATTATTCAGTAGGCAAAATCCTTGACTTCCTGCTGCTCTGTCTTCATCTGTTAAATTAAATTGAGCTGCACCATATGTTCCAAGGTGATGACCTGGAGGTCTTACAACACAGAAAATTTTTTTTTTTTTTTTTTTTTTATTTCTATAAATATAATCAACTGCTTTTAATACTACTCCACTAGCATTCAGTGCACAGTTAAACGAATGCTTATTAACAAATGTATCATTGTCCAATAAAATTAATTTGTCTATTTTTTCCCTTCCGATACTTCCGTAACTCCATTTTTTGCTTTGTATCATAACCCCCTGATGTTTCTCTTTTGTCACTGCATTATTGCCCAGGTTGGACATTCCTAACTCTCCTAATTTGGATGTTTTGCTTAAATCATCTATATCTGCAAACGCTTTATTATTCTGCTCACAGAAACCTTCAAAATTGAACCGTTTGGTATTTATTTCATTTGAAAATTCCATGTCTTCGCTAGTTCCTTCTTCACAAAGGGAACTGATGATTTGGCTTCTTTTTAAGGCCTCCATATGATCTGAAACTCTAAAATTATTGTCTCTATTATAATAATCTGATGATGATATTGTTAGGTAATTTTTCTTGAACCTTTTGGTGTGTTCTAAGAAATTGTCACATATATCAGTACCATCAAACTCATCGTCCCAATTGCACCTTTTTATTCTTCTCAGAAGCATTTTCAAATAAGAAATATCATGAACTCTTAAAATATCATTTGCAGTAGCTTTTCTTTCAATCCTTTTTAATTTTAAATTTACAAAGGTATTCATTTTCAATATACCATGTTTATTGGATATCAGCACATCTAACCTGCTCGAGTTCTCAGGAATATTTATCTTAATTTTGTTTCTCAAATAAGGGTAATCACTCGGTTCAGGGACGAAAATATGTTTAGCACATTCCTTTGAGTAAAATACTTCGATCCCATTGTGCTTGTCCATTTTTTTCTTTATCATGTAATCCTTCACACTTTTCCCTAGTACAGAATTTATTTGAGCTTTTCTAACATTATGATCAACGCTTTTTACTTCTCCCGTTGTTATCTGTTCTTCCTCACGTGAGGTATTATATAGTGCAGTAGCTGCTTCATCACGTGAGGTATCATAAGATGAACTAATTTCCGTGTTCGTCCATTTCCTGTTTTTTCTCACAGTGAAGGAATTTTTTTCACCATAAATTAAATCTTCGCCCTTTCTCTTTTTACTTTTCTCCCTACACTGTTCAAATTTGTTGGTCGTCATTAACCAATCACAGTGCTTCATAAATACATTCATGCAATTGTACATGCATGCAAATGAACAGAGGAAGTAAAACATATGCCTTTTATGTAAAATGTAACAAAAAATATGTTTATTATAATTAAAAAGAATTTTTAAAAATTCAAAATTCCCTAATTCTATAATTTTCAAAATTATACTTAAATACAATTTAACAACGTTCGTCAAAAAATATATGTTAATTTTTTTATGATAAAAAAAATCCCTCCTTATATATTTTGTATAGAATTTATTTGCTTTCCCTTTGGAGGTAATGCTTGGAAAGGTATTATTCATTATATTTGTATTACTTTTTTTATTCCTTTCATCCAATTGTGATTTCATGTGATATTTTCTATCCACCTTGTTGCAGAAGTTGGGAGTTCCTTCTTCCATTTTAATGTGTTTCATTTGTGTCTTTTCCTCAAGATGATGCTTCGAGTTAAAAATTTCATCTTGGATGTTCTCTTTCTTCGTTTCTGTATTCAGAGGGACCTGATCATTTGAAATAATATTTTTCTGTATTTCATTTTTACAAGTTTTTTTTTTTTTTTTCTTCCTATTACACTCTTTATACAAATTTACATAAAAAAAAAACATATATTCGACGGTATTATGAAGTAGCAAGAGAAAAATATATAAATCACAATTGTAAAGTGTGCAGTGTACAGGCAATTCTGATTTATCATTATATATTAACAGATTAACATTTAAACTTAAAAGCAAAAAAATAATATTTACATTTGAAACTAAACAAGCTTTATGTATAAGCGTATTATTATTATCATCCGTTTCGTCAAAGTTTATTATTTCCTTCCACGTCTCATGTATATATATATATTTTTTTTTTTTTCCTTTCATAAATCTGTTCTTCTCTTGTTTCAGATATTTTTGTATATCTTGCAGGACGTAATTTCCATATAATGTTTCCAATACCTTTTGTGATTTATTTTGTCTCCTATGATATCGCACAAATTCAAGAAAGTTTTCTTTCATACATGGATTTCCACTGCTAGTACTATTCTTCGTAATGGAATCATCATGACAAGAACAGTCCTCTCCTTCCCCCTTTGCCACATCTACATAATCATTTTTTGCAATAGAAAATGGAAAATCGTTATTACCATGGTGTTCATATGTTCTCTCCTGACAGTGCCACCTATGGTAAGTATCAGTAGCATCACAATGTTTTCCAATCGTATCATCTTCCTCATGGAAGGAATCTATTTTCTCATTCAGAAATTCTTCTACTTCTTTTTCTTCTTCTGAGTCGCTCAGACAACTTAAGCTCTGTTCAGTGCTTACGCTTCCACTGCTCTCTGACAGAACTGTATCATCCTCTTCTTTTTCCACTTTCTCTCCCGCTTCCTCTTCTTGTCCCTTTTTTTTTTTTTTTTTTTTTTTTTTTTTCACTTTTACATATTTTTTTTTAATTAACACTTTTGTATTCCTGTAATAATCGTTTATATATATTGTGGGCACGACTACATGATTAAAAAACGGGGTTCTAAAGTATAGCATTTTGAAAGGGGGGTTCCTGAAATGTTCGTTTTTTTTAAATTGTACATGTTTGAGGGAAAACACTTTGAATTCCTTTTTCTTCCTTGCGCCTATGCCTCTCTGGTCGCCCTTTCTCATTCGGGAGTTCTCGCCATGGTGCATGTTTTTCGCATTGATCCCCCCTTTGTCCTGTCCTTCTGCCTGTCCTTCTGCCTGTCCTTCTGCCTGTCCTTCTGCCTGTCTTTCTGCCTGTCCTTCTACCTGTCCTTCTGCCTGTCCTTCTGCCTGTCCTTCTGCCTGTCTTTCTGCCTGTCCTTCTGCCTGTCCTTCTGCCTGTCTTTCTGCCTGTCCTTCTGCCTGTCTTTCTGCCCGTTCTCCTACTTTCTGTTCATGTCCTTTATCCCTTTTTTTCCTATTTCTCCGCTTCCCCCTCGATCTTTTGTTGTGATATATTTCGAAAAATTTGGGAGAAAAGTTAAATAATGGCAGGGAATGATAAAATATAACAATTTTCAAAATTCTAAAAATCCTTCTATGGTATTTCTTTATATAAATTCGAGAAAATAAAATTTTTATAAAATTTTCTTTTGAGAAGAAATCGAAAAAATTTGCCCTGTTCAGTTGGACAAGAGTTGACGCAGGAGAACATGAATTTTCTAAATCCGCTACATCGCTGCTTAAAATATTGTTCTTGTAATATTCATTACTAGAATTGAGAGTATACTTTTTTTTCAATTCATCTATTATCTTCAATTTAAACAGAAGCGAACAAAAATTATTGGGTAAATTTAACATGAACTTGTATAAATTTTTGTAAATTCTCAAATTGTTATTTCGCAAGCAATTTATGTAGTTGTGAATATATGGATAATATAAAATTAAAAAAGTTATATACGATTTGCAATAATAAAAACATATTTCTAACGAATGCTTATATTCATAATTGACATCATTAATCATACCTCTGTAATCACTTTTTAAAATATAACAAATATAATTTATTTTGTTATTAATAATGTTTAATATTAACAAATTATCCTTCTTCTTCTTTTTCATCTTATCCAACTCATATTCGTATCTTGTGTTTCTTTTCTCCTTTTTAATTTTCATCTTTCCTGCTTAGTTCTGTTAAATGTCAAATCATGCTAATAAAGTACATACCTTTATGCTCACGGATGGAGTGGTAGTGGTGATAACCTGTTTTGGTGCGCATGTCTGTGTGCAGGTAAAATCGAGTACAGAACTATGCGTTCAAATTCAATGTTTCTCTTATGATATGTAAACGGATAAAAACCAATATCTATTGTGTCCATATACAACAGGGGGGAGGAGGGGTGTAATGTAGAATGATGAGGCCCTTTTTCTCCTTAAACCAAAAGTATGGGTATATACACTACTGTGGGAATATGTGGTGAATGTTCTTGTCTCTTTTCTTTTGATTGGAATATCCGGGGAAAAGATCTGTGTGTAAATTTGTGACAGCTTATTACCTGATGGTGAATTAGTAATCACCAATTAGAAATGATTCATAAACCCAAAAAAATATGTTTCTTTTTTTTTTTTTTTTTTTTTTTTTTTTTTTGCATATACACGAGAATAAGGTTCATATGAAAAATGAGCTTAATTACTACATATGATAGACCAAGAAAATGATATGAATATCAAATATGGAGTTATTCTTACAACGACAAACTTAAATATGGATTATATACACATATATAGATGTATATATATGCATACGTAAGTATAGTCATAAAAAAAAAAAAAAAAAATGTGCTATTATCCATGTATATGTTTTTATTCGACAAAAATAAGAGGAAAATATTAATCAATTTTTTTTTATATCTCTCCTTTTAAGAAAAAAAAAAAAAAAAAAATACAGAAAAATAGAAAAATAAAAAAAATAATAAAATAAAAAAAACTAAAATGAATACAAAAAGGATAAAAATAATAAAATAAAACAAAACCATAGTAAAATAAAATAAAATGAACTTTTCTAGTAGCTAAGTAATGTGAATGACAATTTTTTAAATTTTTATCGCATGCGAAAGAGGGAAGAAGAAAAAAAAAAAAAAAAAAAAAAAAAAAAAAAAAAATATATATATATATTAACCGGGGTAAAGCATATAAAAAAAATATATATCATATGCATTATCTCATTTAATATACATAAGCAAAGATTTATATATATGAATATTTTTCACCATGTTGTGTTGCTTTTTATTTAGATTAAATTTTCAACAAGCATAAATGATAATTTTTTTTTTTTTATAATTAAAGGAGCAAAAGAAAAAAAGAATGATAGAAGGAGGACAAGTGTAAGCATTACTGGTCATATATGCCTTTTTGAATATGGAGTGTCAAATATGAGAATTTATTCTGAAAAATGAGAAAAGAAGGAAAATCGAACAAGTAACAATAACATTATATTATTTATACATATATGTATATAATCCCCCCTTTTGCAAATCGAAAAAATATACTAGTTGTAAATAACTTCACATTCTTATACATGTATGTGTACATTTACGCTTATTGTGATTTTTTTTTTTTTTTTTTTTCTTACATACTAGACGAAAAGAATTACATGTAAAATTCTATTTACGAAGTGTACAACCCCATAGTGTTTAGTTAAGGCAAAAGAAAAAGAAGAAGCTAACAATCTTTCTTCGTGGTTATGCCTTTCCCACCTTTGATTTAAACCCCGAACCTGTTGGTGTAATAAATAAAAAAGGCTTTTGTTGTAAGAGAAAGTAGTTATATATATATATATATATATATATATATATATATATATATATACCGAACAGACGTAGTTTGTACAGGACTAAATAACACATACGGTTGGGGGTATAGTGAACCCAAGTACTCATGTTAAGGAAATTTCGCAGTGACGATAAGGCAGCTTTTCCAAACTTTGCAAAATGAATTACTACAACCAGAATATCATTAATAGAGCAAATAACCGAAACGACAATGAAGACCCCAATTTTGGGAACAAGGAAAATAACCTGAACAGTATAAACAATATAAGTAACCCATATATAAATAAAAAAATATATGAAAGCAGTTCCAATAAGCTAAGTAACAATATTATTCCTAGCGGCCCTTTTGAAAATAACTTTTATCAAAATAATGTATCGGTAAAAAATTTTAATATTGCACATAGTAATAATACCAATATAAACAACACTGTGATAACTACTAACCCATTTAACAATCCTCTAAATCCTGCAAATGATATGGGTACAAATGAAGGCTCCTTTTTTGGTAGCTTTAATTCATCAAATAAGAATCAATTAAAAGAAGATACAACTAAACGAAAAGAAGATGATGAGGAAGAAGACGAACTTCCTTTACTAGAAGAATTGGGAATTAATTTTGATTTAATTTCGAAAAGAATGAAATCTGTTTTTATGTTTTACAAGTAAGAAAAAGTGCAATATGCATCCTTCCAAGAAAAAATGCCTCTCTAAATTTTTTTGTTCATACAGACAAGTAGCGTGAGAGAAATCTACTTACAATTTTTACATGCTCATCTTATGTGACCATGGTCCCATAAGGGTCGGTCTACAGCTTCTCATTTTCTAGTCTATTTATTACACCATCACCCGCATCCTCATTTCCATTTTTGCACTTTTTCCAGAATTGATGATACGCTATTTGAAAATTCAGATTTATCTGGTCCCCTAATTATTGTCCTTTCCCTGGGATTTATATTATTATTAGTACGAAAGGGACAGAAAAAAAAGAAAAAAAAGAAAAAAAGAAAAAAAAATAATTTCACAATTTTGCCATATAAAAAAAAAAAAAATACCTCGTTCCTTTTGTACAGGCCGGAAAAGCTTCCTTCAGCTATATCTACTTAATAGGAATTGTTAGTAGTCTGAGCATATATGTGCTCCTAAATATGATGAGTCAGGTAAGAAATAAAAAAAGAGAACTATTGGTCTCATTCGTTTCGAAGAAATGGATACACATAAATATATGCACACAAAAAAAAAAAAAAAAAAAAAAAAAAAAAGAAGAACTCTTACATCGTTTCTACCATTTTTTGTTCATTTTCATCTGTCTAACTTTTGTAATCTCCTTTAGAACCTTACGTTGGACCTATACCGCACGATTAGCATGTTAGGATATGCGCTTCTTCCCCTAGTCATTTTGTCCTTCATTTCGATAATAATCAATTTAAGGTAAAAATGAAAATTCCCCATGGGACATATCAAAGTTGTAAAAAAACAGGACACACTTGGGGGGGGGGGGGCTAAAAAGACGTGGATAATATACAAAAAAAAAGAAAAAAAAAAAATAGCAAAAAAAATGGCCAAAAAAATGACCCCCCCAAACAACGAAAGATGCATAGTTGATGTGCCAACAATGTGTAAAAAAATACACGAGTATAAATCAAAATTTCACAAAGTTTTCACAAAAATCCAATCTTTCTTGCAGATCAAAAAAGGGATACATCATTTCATTTTTGTGCATTTCTTGGTCAGCCTTAACAGCTTCACGATTTTTTGAAGTGGTACGGCATAAACAAAAAGCTTCTTTTTCCCTGCACCCCCACCTTTAGATAAATACATGATGTAACGGTGTTGTCGTGTACCTATATAATATTTGTTTGCTTACCTGTTAAATATTCATATGAGACCTATGGAAATTTTCTAATTACCTTTTCGACAACACATTGGGATGTATTATCTGATTTTTCTCTTTTAGACTCTCCGGATGAATAGCCAAAGATACCTTGTTGCCTATCCAATATTTCTATTATATTCATGTTTTGCGTTAATTATTATTTTTTAGTGATCTAATTTTTTTTAACATTTTTAAATCTTTTTTTTCTAGTTGTTTTTGAATTTTTAATTCTTCTCTTAATAACATTTCATTTTCATCATCACAATAACCAAAATAATGAATATTTACATATTTATCAAAATATCTCTTTTCCTTTCTCTTTTTTAAAATAAACTTTTTCCGATCTTCACTTTCTTTCAATAATAATTCTTTTACTCCTTTCAAATTTTTTGCTGCCCCAAAGTATTTGTAGTTGTTGTTTCCTTTAAGCTCACTGCCTGTATAGAGAATGGGGTGAGGTGCGGAGAGGAGAAAGTGTACTAATGAAAAGGTACATGGTAAAAAAAAAAAAAAAAATAAGTGATAAAAAGAGAAGATGTTCACATAAAGGACAAAAGAAGAACAACTCAAATGTGAAAAAAAAAAAAAAAAAAAAAAAAGAGTACATATTTGCAAAATTAAAAAATGTGTAATCGTACAATGTGCATTTATCAACGTATTAGATTCCGTTTGATAATCCGGGCCTCCAAGCTGCAAACATGAGGGAAAAAAAAAAAAAAAAAAAACACTTAAACGTTTAATTGTTCTATTAACGTGCCCACGAGGGGGAAGAAATACAAAATGGTAGACATTCTCAACCCCATCTCCAATCCTTTAATACGTTAATATATTTTAATAAGGATTGTATTTGTGAGTACATATTTCTGAGATTCATGTATTTCTCGGCTGTATAATATCTCTCTTCGACATTACCTCTATTATTCGAATTTCCCACTTATTTTTTATAGAAATTAATTTATTTATTTGGTCGTTCAGTTCTCTTATATGCTGATCACTCAAGCTATAGTTTTGAATTTCTTTTATCTTATTGCATATTTCTTTGATGATATGCCTCCGGCTGCAACAGAGAAAAAGAATGAATTAATCAATTGGTGAATGAACTAATAAATGAATGAATTGATGAATGAACTAACAATAGAATGAATGGAAAAAAACAAAATAACAGCTCCCGTGTCTACGTGCGTGAAGGCAAATATGTGTTCATCGCAGGCATATGTATAAAATGTATACACGTTACTGCACATTTTTGAAGCACGCAGAAATAAATGCAAAGACACGCAGAGAGCTAAGTGCAGCAAAGAAATGTGTTTTAAAAGGGGGTGAAGAAAAAAAAAAAAAAATAATAATAAAAAAAAAATAAAATAATAAAATGGTAAAATAACGTTATAACGTATATCCCTATTCATTCTTTCCTCATTCTTGTTTTTATTGTTCTTCTTACTATTATGCTGCTTTTGTTTTTCTCCTCTTTTTTTTTTTCTTTCTTTTTTTTTTTTTTTTTTTTTTTTTTTTCCCTTTACCATAAAACTGCAGACTCCAGATTATCT